TTGTTGTTGTTGTTATTGTCGTTTTTGTTGTTAATAGCATATAACTTACAACATTCTAATTACTACCTAATATATGTGTCATACAGTGATTATGAAGTCTTCCTGTAAATAACTATAAATATTATCTATAGTCTAGGACCTGTATATGAGTTTGTATGCATTTCATTTAGGACAGATAATCTCAACTGTTTTAGGGTAAGTTGACCATGACGGTCAACATGGTAACGCTGCCCGAACCCCAATCCGGGGCGAAACGTCCGAAACTGACCACACCCAAAAACGACGCTTTCGCCATACTGCTATCTACCAAACCATAAAAGCTTTGGCTATTCTGAGGTGCTTCTATGGTTCAGAGTGGTACTTTTGGGGGTGGTCATTGGTAAGTGTGAAATGCCTAGCACTAATATTTCACAAGAAAATGGCCATGCAATAATCATAGTTAAACGTCAATTTGTGGCTTGCAAATTCAGATAAACAGCAGTGGACTTACATTACCTTTTTCCCTAAATCTTTCTGATAGAAACATAAATGGTACTTATTTAAATATATTATCACTGGTTTGGTGTAAAATAGTTAATATTTTCTGACCGAAATAATAATTCGAAATGTGCCTACCTCCTGCAAATGGACGTATTTGGCCAAGTTCTCCACTTTACTCCGCTGTTTATCGGCGATCTCGTCGACATCCTACAAAAAATGTAAATCATCTTAGACATAATGGTATCAAGAACATTTTAAACAAGTTTCAACTTGGTTTCAAGTAGATCATACCTGTTTAACCATCGACAAGGTAAATCCACAACTTTGTCCAAATTCGGCGCCATTTTGTCATCCCATGTCGCTTGTTAACAATTCAGCCTTGTTGCTCTTCCATCCAAGCCATTTTCATTCCACTAATAATAAATTTAACCCTTTATAACAGGAGGAAACTAAAAAATCTAAACAAAATATAAGAAATACGCCATTTTATCACCATGTAAAATTTTGCTCACGAGTCTTGCAAAACATTCCGTACAAATATCGCGTGACAAAGTAACAAGGGACGTGACAGGAGGGGGTGAATTATTTCACGAAGATAGAAGAAGGCTGCGTGAAATAGACTAAAAGCTAAATACAATCATACAAATGTTTGTTTTATTTCTTGTAGCGACAAATATATACATATTATTATTTATTATAAACATAAAGTCATACAAATTAAATGTTGATTGTTGGTTTTACCATACTGTGTGGGCTTTCCTTTCATTTTCAAGTCCCTACCCCCCCTGTCACGTCCCTGTTGCTAAACCACGCGAGATTTGTACGGAATGTTTTGAAGGACTCGTAAACAACATTTTACACGGTGATAAAATGGCGTATTTCTTGTATTTTGTTTAGATTTTTTAGTTTCCTCCTGTTATAAAGGGTTAAATTTATTATTAGTGGAATGGAAATGGCTTGGATGGAAGAGTAACAAGGCTGAATTGTTAACAAGCGACATGTGATGACAAAATGGCGCCGAATTTGGACGAAGTTGTGGATTTACCTTGTCGATGGTTAAACAGGTATGATCTACTTGAAACCAAGTTGAAACTTGTTTAAAATGTTCTTGATACCATTATGTCTGAGATGATTTACATTTTTTGTAGGATGTCGACGAGATCGCCGATAAACAGCGGAGTAAAGTGGAGAACTTGGCCAAATACGTCCATTTGCAGGAGGTAGGCACATTTCGAATTATTATTTCGGTCAGAAAATATTAACTATTTTACACCAAACCAGTGATAATATATTTAAATAAGTACCATTTATGTTTCTATCAAAAAGATTTAGGGAAAAAGGTAATGTAAGTCCACTGCTGTTTATCTGAATTTGTAAGCCACAAATTGACGTTTAACTATGATTATTGCATGGCCATTTTCTTGTGAAATATTAGTGCTAGGCATTTCACACTTACCAATGACCACCCCCAGAAGTACCATCTCTGAACCATAGAAGCACCTCAGAATAGCCAAAGCTTTTATGGTTTGGTAGATAGCAGTATGGCGAAAGCGTCGTTTTTGGGTGTGGTCAGTTTCGGACGTTTCGCCCCGGATTGGGGTTCGGGCAGCGTTACCATGTTGACCGTCATGGTCAACTTACCCTAAAACAGTTGAGATTATCTGTCCTAAATGAAATGCATACAAACTCATATACAGGTCCTAGACTACTAGTTTTTCAGCATATAACTCCTCCCAGTGTAGTATAATACTGTTTTAGGAGTATTTCATTAAAGCATTAAACCGAAAAACATATAAATAACACTCTCTCTGAAAACTGTTAGACAAATTTTAACTTTTTAAAAATTAAATTAAATTTTACATAATATAATACTTAAAATATAGTTTTAAACTTTTAATGATAAATCTTTCTTAGGAATTTTTATGCCAATTCTAGTAGACGTTGTACATTAATATCTCTATTTTTATAATCTTGTAAACTACATATGTAATTCAGTCTTTTGACTGCAAGATGATGTTTCAATAAACTATTAATCTATCTTTCTCTATCTATTTTGATAAATTCAAAATAAATAATTAAGCAATAAATTTGTCAACTGTTCATCATTTTCTCGAAAAGTCATCAACTACCTGGCAAAGTGTTACTCAATTTCTTTCAAGGAAAAGGAGATTCCAAATCCATCCAAACTTCCCTGAAATCCATTGCTCCTCACGCATTCGGTAACCCACCCATCTACCATATCATATGGTAAAGATCCGTATGGTGATTGTCTATACAATGCCCTAGTCGAATTGTCCAGCCAGTGCATGTTAAAGTGATGCAGTTGTTGAAAAACTTGCTGAACAGTGTTGTTGACAGTACATGTATATCTGAAACGGTAAGAATGGAAAAACTATTTTGCCCTGAACTTTTTTATATTTGGACTTGTTGTGATTCTATTGAAAAACGGTAAAAATTCTCAAGACGATTAAACTTATTTCGCTAAAGATCTGTTTCATGAAGTGGATCGCATTTATAATACAAAACACCAGACGATTCAAGTTGAATGCGACGATATTAACGGTGACACGTAATTATTTGTAGTCCACCATTTTCAAACAATCAAGTTTTAAATCGCTACAATATTACAATATTATTTATTTTGAACATTTTAAAAAACAATACTAAACGTTAAAACGTGAAAGACATGCTAAACAAAAGTTTAAAAACTTGTTAACAACATACATACTTTTTAATTTCAGCTACGTATGATTTTGTCGTTTTTTTCAAGATATATAAAAGCACAAATTATTTCGCCGACTTGTGTAAAACCAACCACGATTCACGAATTCTCCACGCGCACGACACGAGAATGACGTTTGACTAAATCAACTTCAAAGTCTACTAATCAGTGGCGCCGCCAGCTCGATAATTGTGTGGGGGGGGGGGCGAATATTCATATCTTCGTGTTCTGCATTATTAATTTATTTTGAAATCGATTGTTTTTATGGTCTGTGAACACGAATATATGAATATCGCCCCTCCCCCAATTATCGAGCTGGCGGCGCCACTGCTACAAATAACTAGGCAGCCTCCTTAACTAAATAATTTTCAATGCAAAAGTCATCAAACAATTTAGGCCGTATTCTCTGTCTTAAACAGTCGCTCGAAAAAAAAATTGTTGTCCAACCTCGGGTACTAATTTTAATTTACATAATACTGTAGATTTTTGTACGCTAAATTCGATTTCAGTTATTGTCACGCGTACTTACCTGCATGCAGTTTTTTAGAATTTCGTGATCAAACTTCAAGAAATTTCAATCTTTGGAATTCACGTATCCGCCATTTTTCTGCTGAATACTTCATGTAATATTAAACTATTACGCTAGTTTCAGTCCCTCGACATGGCTACTCATGCTAGACTTTTCGCGCCTTTTTAAAAAAAAAACAATTGAAGTCAGCGTTGTAGAGAAAAAACCCATAAAAATCCTACAAGCTGAAGAGCTTGGTGAGAATCAGTTCTCTGAATTATGCCAAAACAACTTTATATTTACTGACAATCCAGATGTTTTCACGAAAATCAACAAAAATAAGTTGCAAACTTTTCCCTCTAAAAAACTGACAGTGAAGGGCAGCCAAGGCCGCCAAGTATCAATGAAGACAAGCAGAGATCTCTTTGCTAGATTGCTGATTTTGTCAAAAACTCGCGAAATCAACCTGAAAGAGTTGCTCTCGTATAGCCTGAGTGATTATCCGCTTTCGTTGGCAACTGTTAATGGAGGTCTAGTGAAGACAGCAAAAGCCAAAATGTTCGAAATTTTAGAAGGTATGGCTCTTAACAGTGGCGGAATTCACTTTTTCCGGGGGGGGCGGCGAAGCCTTCAAAATTTCCGACAAAACTTTCAAAGTTTGTAGCCCTTTTATAGGTCAAAATTTCCGAAAATTCGTCATTTTCCACGAAGGTGGTGGGGAGGGGGCACCCCACCAAGATTTCCGCCACTGGCTCTTAATCCAGTTATATATATGCCGAAGACATAGGAGAACGTAATGCACTTATCATTGACGTAATGGCTGTTATACAAATGATGAACGGCAAGTGCCAAGTGGAAAACATTTGCAGAGTTTGCAAATTCCTTATTTAGCCATTTGGTAAAGCTAGCACTACAATGGAAAGCTACCAGACTAGATTTTGTCGCTGGTAGATACCCTGAAGTAAGCATAAAAAATGCATAGCGGAGAAGGAGGGCGTCGGAAGGTGTCCAGAGAGTTCAGATACTTAGAAAGGACCAAAGCGTCCCCAAACAGTGGAAGAAATATATGAGCTGTGGAAAAAAATAAAGAATCGTTGATCGCATTTCTGTGTGATTATTGGAGTACGTATCAGTCCTCGTGTCTGTGCTACATAGAATGCCTGTACATCACGTCAAAGTGTAAATGCCACTTGCTAACAACTGGATCTTCCCCGAATGATTGTGTCCTACATCATGAAGTTCCTGAACTTCAATGTGATCACGAAGAAGCCGATACACGTTTACTTCTTCATTCAAATCATGCAGCCAAAACTCATGACACCATCATTGTTAAAATCCCGGACACAGATGTGTTTTTGCTTTGTATTGCCATGTGGAGGACAATTGGCAAGAAATTCCACGTGATGGTAGGGACAGGTAACATATTTCGAATTATAGATACTTCAGCCATATCTGACGTACTTGGACAAGAGCTATGCTCTTGCTTGCTGGGATTTCATGCCGTTTCAGGTACACAGATTTTTTGTATATTGCATACGTTAGGTGTACGCGGTAAGGAATTACAAAAACTAAAAGAACGATTTTTTTATATTTTGATAGGTTGTGACTCCACAAGTGTCTTTTGCGGAAAAGGAAAAGCGAAGCCATGGAAGATATTTCAGGACAATACAGACTTCGTTCAAAGTTTCTGCGATCTGGGAAAATCGTCCACTCTATCACAGGATCTTGTCATGTCGCTGAATGTTTTTGTTTGTTTGCTGTACGGCGACAATGAGTGTCGATACAGTCTTTTCAAAGCAGAAATGTTCAGATGAGACTCTTCCTCCGAACTGTGATAGCCTGCTGAAACATATCGAGTGAGCAAATCTTCAAGCAGCTGCATGGAGTCGTTGTTTATACCCCCAGTCACAACTTTTCCCCCAGTAGGTAATGGTTGGAGATTATCAGATGGCCAATTAGAGATTATCTGGATGACTCGTCCCTCTGCACCTGATTCACTTCGTGAGTATGTAGATTGCAAGTGCAAGCGCTGTGGTACACAGTGCTGTTCCTGCCTAAACGGGGCTTAAAATGCACTGAATGTTGTCGTTGCGCAAATTGCCAAAACAAGGACGATGAAAACACAAACGCGAAGAAAATCAGTGATGGCGAATTATCTGATGCAGATTCTTCGAACAGTGTATGCGAAAACGACTATGAATTATTTGAAGAATAAAGCATCGAAAAGTAAATAGCGCATTAATTGTTTATACTTTTTACTCTACACTTTGTTTTTGGTCAACTCCAAAAATTAAAGAGGACAAAACACACCTACGGCTGGTCAATCTCGTACCCAGAGCAATGCCTGTGCGCGGGCTAAGATGGGATTGGCTCTGGGGAAATTGACAACCGGAACCCCTAAATTTAGGGGTTCCGGTTCTTTCTCGGCATGCATGATTGATAAACGTTAAACCAATCACAACACAGGAACAATTCAATTTCCCCAGAGACAATGCCATCCTAGCCCGCGTACAGGTATTGCTCTGGGTACGAGATTGACGGCTGGTGCCAAGAATTTCCAGAAAACAGCGCTGATGAATTATTGCGTGAATAGTGAACAAAGCGACTGTTGTACAAATGCTGGGTGAGTAAAAAGTCTGTTGTTTCAAACGCTTATATCTCTCAAACTATACATCGCACGGAAACAGAAATTGTATCGTTCGAAAGAGGAGGACTTCTGCTTTCCAACGATACCAATTTCAATTTCATCCGGAGCTTGGTTAACGATTTACTCGCATAAATTTGCATAAATTATGATATAAAAAAATGTTGCAATTATGCATAAATGTATTTAGCGGTTCAAATTTCAAATATGTCAAAAAATTTTATGAATATGACTGAAAGACACGGTTATGAGCTACAAGTACCCGAAGTTTCATGCATGTAGCATAAATAGAAATATTTTTATTGAATTTTTATATAAACTAGGTAGTGGAGTAAAATTTACATTTTGTGCTCACATGAAACAAATACCTTTTATCAAAGGTCCTTTTTTATTGCTGCAACATGTTATCAATACAAATTTCCAATATTTCTTACTCTCCAAAGATAGTATGGCACCAAAATAAGTCTGTGATACCCACAAAAGAACACTCAAATCATGATTAGCAAAATGTCTTTATTTCTACAATTACTACATACATTCTTAGATAATCATTACACCATTGACTTTAGTTATTAGTGGCATAACCAGCCTCAAAATTTGGTCATGCTATTCAAATTTGAAATAATCACTACTCATTTGTTTAGAAATTGATTGTTTTCACAATCTAGAACATGAAAATATTTGCAAATAGCATGACCAAGTGTTGTTGGGCTGGCATCATCATAATTAGTAGTTATAAAAAAGTAATGTTTTCCAAAGCAGTAATGTTTGCTAAAGCAGTAATGTTTGCCAAAGCACATAATTGGATTATGTGGTGAAAATATTTCCTTTATATTGTATTACAAAAGACCTAAGACTGTAACCAAACTGATATCAGATCACCACGTCATACCCAAATCTGTTGCAATGAATATCTGGACTTCTTCCTGTATAAATTTCAAAGTTGCAATATAAGCATTAGGATTGTCTACAGCAACCCACAGATTTATTCCCCACATAGTAGGTCATCTAGCTTTCATGAACTGCCTAACCCCCAACCTATTTCTTGATTTGACAGTGTTTTTGTCTGCAACAACAATATTCTATGACGGCTGGTACAGTTGTTGATGCAGTTTATTGCTGTAGTCTTTAGTACAGGATCTACCATATTCACAAACGCCATAAGCGCTTTGTACCTAACCCGAGAAATTATGTCTATTGCCCACAGACCATGATAAATTATAAGGTTTTTACACTCCAATAATTTTCAATCTCACTGTCGACCTTTAGCAAACCTGCATATTATACTAAAAGGCAATCAACCTCTCAAGGTTGGTGGACTGCAAGACCCTTTTTTATTAGTATATGGGGATAACTTTTCAGTTATTTGTATGTGGGCATATGTATTGGTATGGCCAGGATTGTAACTAACTCCTGAAACATTCCCTTAGTAAAAAAGAGTCGAATGAACTCAAGCTCACAGTTCATTGAGCCAAATGAACTCAAGCTCACAGTTGATCGAAATGGATCCCGGACATGTCAGTGAGGAGCAAAATCTGGGAGAACATTCCTGGCGTCAGGATCATCATATCCATCATGTACTATGGGGCCTAGTGGGGATGCTAGACAGGGAGCTTTCGAAACCTTAGGTCCTAATGGCTGGGCTTCCCTCTACCTCTACTCATCCCCCTACCTTCCCTCTGGGTTGGTGAGTGGGGTTCTCATGACTCATCAGAACTCTACTTCCCTGAGGCTATGAAACAGGAACAGCAGATAGGAACAGGATCAATGCGAATAAAAACTTTTATAGACATGGTGCCACTTAAAATTATAATAAGAGCCAACTAGTAAGATATAAGTATGAATACTTGGCTATTATGTATGTAACAAACAAGCAAACATGTGCTCAAGGCTCATTTTACTTCGCCTAGGAATCAGAGATTTTTATGCCTAAAACACCATAAATTTTCGTCAACAAAATAAATAAATACCATTTATATTTGTCAATTTCAGTATGAAACGATTATTTCAACACAAAAAAGCGATATGAGGACATACTTGGTCGTACTAGTGAAGCTATACTAAATACAAATAAATTTACAACGCCATGGCAACGGCAAAACATTGAAATAGAAATTGTCTAGAAATGATATAAATACTTGCCTTGAAACTCCAGACACGACTCCCAATGCCAGGTTGAGATACTTGTCTTCATACGAAGACATTCCATCATTACTAGCACTATCAGTTTGCAAAATAAAGCCAAAAACGTCTTCAGAATACGATTCAAACAAAACTACAACACAATACATTTCAACGCTCGTGCGTTCCCGTGCGCGATATTCAGGAAAATTGCTCTAAAAGATTTGTTTTTCTCCCTAAGCCAATCAAAATCCGTATCTAGGGTAAACAAACACTCCGGAAGTGATTTCTGCAGTCTTTTACCAGGAAACTGTAATGCTTTACCACAGAATAGGGTACACAGAAGGCCGACTTCTTTGTTTTTCCTATGATTTTGCTATGATTTTGGCGTAACCCGTAATTCGTCATCAAATGCTGACGCCATGGTCCTAGCCACTGAGCTATACTTAATATATCTGGAGATCGTGCTCCAATACCTCGTCAGTCAAAAATGTGTGGCCAAAAACATGGCGGATTTTGGCCAAATTTACGTCATTTTGACGTCACAATCGACCTAAATTTATGGTGAACACCACTAACCTAAAATACTAACGTGAAGAAAAAAGTTATTCACACCCCCCTTTCAATTTGCTTAAAACAGAAGGAAGTAAATTCAAAATTTCGGTCGGAAATTTCTATATTGAAACGAGACATTTGCAACCATGCCAACTTTTTGTTCAATTCCTGGTTGCCAAAAATCTACTGAAAGAAAGGACCTGTCCTCACATGCGTAAGGCTCGTATAATCTCTTTTTTTTAATAATTTAACGCAATGCTGTATTGCTGTATTGAATGCGTAAATTTGTGAATTCATGAAATTTATTGGCAAGCAACATACAATACAATGTTAGTGTACTACAGTGCAAAAGCAGAACAAAATTTTAAAATGTTGACAAGCTTGTGGAGCTGTTGTTGAGCAAGTATTTATTTTCATGCAAGTTGATGGATGTGATGCAGTGATGAAATCTTATCGATATCCTAACAGATAATGCTTAATGTTAAAAAAATTCAAATGAGAATTTTAACAATGTGATAAAGATACGACTAGCTTTAAATGTACAAAGCCTTTCACTCATTGTATTGTCTTTATTGTGGACTAAACCATGTGTTGTCTAGTGTGGCATTGTTTATAATAATTGTAAGTTATAGGTATCGTATTGAACAGTGTATTAACTAGACACTAAAAACAATTGTTCATTTACTTCATAGCTTTCCAGATGAGAAGAGATTCCCTGAATTGCACAGCATATGGGTGAAGAATATAAGCAAACTTATGCCAGACAGAGTGAAGTTTGTTCCTATGAAAAATAGTTGTTTGTGTTCAAAGCATTTTAATGCCGATATCTTTGAGGAGGATTACAGCCAGAGACCAGTGTTAAAGCCATATGCTGTACCAACAATCTTTAATGATTGCTTTGGTCAGCTTGGTTGTGATCTTTACAGTTTATTATCAGTACAATTAATGGCCATACTGTACATGAGGGGTAATTAACCCATTAAGCGCCAGTGCTCTCCCCTTGACGAGTAAAATTGTCTGGCGTTAGACAGAGTAAAATACTAAAATAGGGTGCTTCGCCACTCAATGGGTTAAATTTATTCCTTATTTTTTCTGCTAACAACTTTAAGTTATTTGTACACATTTTGGTCTGTTTAGCTAAGCCAAGATTGCTACATTTACATTTATTTTGACCATTTGGGTTAGTGTACAAATTAGGCTAGCATAATTACTGTAGGTGCTGACCATCAAGTAGGGATTGACATGCATAGAATTGGTTAAGCAGTTTATTTAATTAAATTGGGGTTGTATGTGTTTAAAAATAAAGAATAAATTTTGTTGTGATTTGAAATTGAATATATTATTTATTCTTATTACTAAATGTAATTATATAATTATCTTGGAAAATCTTTTTTTGAATAAAATATTTTTTTAAATAATTCTTCACTGTCGTTCCAATTGAAGTGTTCCTCAAATATTGATTCAATACATTACCTTGGGCTAACCAATTCATTT